ATTTTACGGATATAGAATTTGGAAACATTTTATATATAGAAACGTCATTTTGAGGGGGAAAAAAAACCCGGAAATGATGTACACCCGTAACAGTCTTCTCGTTTCTACATGGAGCGGGTCGCCCACAGTTGAGCGCCGCCATGTTGACGTCTTCTTCTTTTGGATTTTAACGGCAGCTTGCATCCTTTTTTTTTTTCTTCTCCTTCCTTTATTAGGATTAGCAACAAGTATGCAAAAATATACAACCCTAGTAACAACAAAATCAAAAAACAAAATAAAATAAAAATAAAAAAACAACAACAAACATACAGGGCCAGGGGTAATATAAATTACATTATATAAAGTAAAGGTGCCTCAAAAGGCACTTTTTAACAACCAGGCAAAAGGTCACAGAGCATTCAGTCAACTGTACATTATAGGAAAGAGCCAATATTATAAGATGCACACAATGTTATCGATTTTAAGGCTTTAACATTGCTGGAGGTAGATATTGTTTCCAAGTAATACTTCAGATCTTTACAAAATATAAGAAATAGGGGCTTTACAGACAAAAATTTGCACTTATGTATAAACAATTTTGCTAGCAAAATAAATAGATTTATTAGAAAATATTTAACTTATCAACATGATAAAAACCAAATAAAACATCCTTGTACAACAAAGGAAAAACTGTCTAAGAGAGAAGATTTTTCTCAAAAATGGTTACATGGGTACATTCCCAAAAGAAATGAGAGACAGACTCATCTACCATTCCACAAAAGGAACAAAGAGGATCCTTCTCCGGAAGCATTTTTTTAATATAAACATTCACAGGGTAAACTCGATGTAGCAATTTAAAGGATACCTCTTTGGCAGCTTGCATCCTTAACGTTGCATAACGTCCATGTTGACGTAATAATTGTCAAGCGATTACTATCATATTATGTTTACTTGATTTTTTTTTCTTTCTTTTATAGTTCCCCCACTGTAGTCCTTGATTTTGTTCTAATGAAGATAATTTGAACTATTGTTTAGTTGTTTATATGTATGTTTGTTTTTGTGATGATAATAATATATATATATATATATATATATATATTTTTTTTTTTTAAGTTATTTTTTTCTTCTCTTAAATGCTATCTTACAGATTAAGATCCGTTTACTTTACATAACGTTATACACAGCTTAAAAATAAAGTAAAATATGATATATAAAAATAAAACCCGTGATACTACCCTCTTTATGTTATAGTCCAAACATGAAATCCACAGACGCTCCGCTCGGTTACGGAGCACCAAGTACAAAGCTCCAGCATCGGAGAAGAAAGTCTCGACCAAAGGAAAGGGTAGACGACACATTTTCAAATTGAAAAATGTAAGTGCTTTTCATTCAGGGTCGTTTATGAGTGTTTTCTTCCTCTAATATCTATGTGGGTTAAAGGAATGAAAATGTACTCACTCTCAGGCCATCCCAAGATTAGGATGAGTTTGATTCTTCATCAGATTTGGAGAAATGTAGCAATGGATGCTCTGCAGTGAATGGGTGCCGTCAGAATGAGAGTCCAAACAGCTGATAAAAACATCACAATAATCCACAGCACTCCAGTCCATCAGTTAACATCTCGTGAAGCCAAAAGCTGAAACAAATCCATCACTTTTTAACTTAAAACCATTGCTTCTGGCTAAAATGAGTCCTCTGCAGAGCATCCATTGCTGAGACACTGATGCAATGCTGCATTTCTCCAAACCTGATGAAGAAACAAACTCATCCTAATCTCGGATGGCCTGAGGATGAGTACATTTTAAGCAAATTTTAATTTTTCGGTGAACTGTAGTAATAAAATGCAATGGCATTTATGTTACCTTCTTTAAATTTCCATAGCCTATCAAAGCACCAGAGTCTGTGTCAACGATTATCACATCAGAGTCCATGTTTTACAAGGTAATCACACTTTTCTACTGTTCAAAATGCTTGTTTAAACAGTTTTTCTGCCTGTTTCTATTCACTAAACTACACGTCTTGTGTTCAGGGCGTCTATTATCAAATAGGAGATGTCATTAAAGTAACAGACGAGGACGACGGTAAGCCGTATTACGCACAGATTCGTGGTTTCGTCCAGGACCAGTACTGTGAGAAAAGCGCGGCGTTAACTTGGCTGATCCCGACTCAGGCCAGTCCTCGAGATCGGTTTGATCCTGGCACATACATTGTAGGTAAGTTCATGCAGAAATACTGTGTTTTTGTTCCTTGCTGACTAGGGGTGTGCAATATCTTTGATAATACCGTAATTGTTTTAACAGTATGTGAGCTGATGTTATGGAGTGTGTCACTCACTTTGCAAAAAACAAACAAAAACACGTCTTGAGAGTCCAAAAGCATTGACTGCGTGATGAAGCCTATTAGAATGCAGTTATAATCACCCTATAATTCAAGTTATGAAAGCAAAAAAATATCCCTGTATGGGTTTTTGTTTGTAGATTTATAAGATATGATATAGTTATGTAATAACACACAAGCAAGAGTGGCGTTTTCCTGAATATTAGCGCGTGTGATTGCAAATGTGATATTACAATTATATAACAATTCAAAAAATAAGATAATATTGAGTGAGCTACATTTGACACATAATATTGTTTTTTTTTCTATTTCGTCAATGAAAATAGTAACAATCAAAGCCGGAGCAGAACATCTGTGCATCTTTATTTCTGAATGAATCTGTTTTGAACGAATCATTTTAGTCAGTGATTCAATGAGCCATTCATAAAAACAGCCAGTTTCTTTACTTGTAAATAGTGGTGTGCGATATTGACGTTTTATGGGCATTTTTACCTTTATAAAGCCATTTTTTCTAAAAGTGTGCATTATCTTTTGAGTGAAATTCTTGCATTTAATCAGTGAATTAGAGTAATAAGACATTTGGGCTGTTTCCAAGCAAATTAAATCAACACAGAAGTATTTTAGATGTATTTACACACTGTTTAATGCAGGACATGAATGCATTTAACCTGCAATTACAAATGCATAAATAACGTTTTGATATATTAAACATAAAACGTTGAATACTGATATTTGAAATGATTTAAATAATAAAATATACTTTAAATGTGAAATTAAAACCGCCAGCAGGTGGCAGCAAGTCACTGTTAAGAAGTGAGTCATTGCGATTGAACCGAATCATTTAAACGAGTGATTCATTTAGGAACGAAACACACAGACGCAAAACAGCGCTGTGGCGGCGTTTGGAATAATTTTTGTTGTCGAAAACGGGCAGTATGGTGTCTAAAACGTAAGTCTCTTAATTAACTTATTGTTTATTGAACTGTTGTAAAAAAATCAATATCACATTTGTAATCATGGTAATATTTGGAGAAAAACGGCACTCTTCGTGTGAAATTGATTATTAACTATATGAAATGGTATAAATATATACATTTTCTGCCATCATGTCTTGAATTTGTGATCATTGTAAATGCATTGTAATAGACCGAATCATGCAGTGAAAGAACGCACTCTAAATGCGCACACGCACTACGCGTGCGCTCTGTAGGGATGTTTTGAATGGTTTTTGCAAAATACTCGATAATGTCAAATCGCACATCGTTAAAACAACAATTACGATATTATCGCAGATGATATACATCGCACCACACCCCTACTTGTAAATGAACTTTGAACAAATTGTTTGAGTGAATGATTCAACGAATCACTCATTAAGGGACTTGCTGCCACCTACTGGTGGTTTTAGTTTAAAAAAAAAAATAAAAATTAATAAATTAAAAAATATATTTTTTTAAAAATAGATTTTTTCAATATCGCACACCCCTATTGCTGACACATATGCTGTACCAGGGTGTCATGTACACTAATTTGACGCATGTTTAAGAAGTTTTTAAGCTTCCTTTTTGTAACAACTGCAGTTTCTCTGCATAGGCCCTGAGGAGGACTTGCCAAGAAGAATGGAGTTCCTGGAGTTTGTCTGTCACGCCCCATCAGAGTATTTCAAATCAAGAAGCTGCCCTTTCCCAACATTACCAGTTCGTCCAGAAAAAGGCTACATCTGGACTCATATAGGACCGACGCCTGCTGTTGCCATCAAAGAAACCGTAGGGTGACGTGGATCCCTCAAAATCAGACTGAACTGAACTTTTTTTTCATTTACGAGACATTTCAGTACAATTTCAAGAACGGTCATCATGATTGTGTGTGGAGTTGGCCATTGAACAGTACATTTTATAGTATTTTCGGTATACATTTTCATAGTAAAACAGGTATACAAATTGAAAATGGAAACTTTATGCACAAAGTTCAGTATTGCAACACATCATACATGTGTATAAAGTCATACCTGGTTAACGTGTTGTGCTTTGTGCATCTCTCAAATGCGTTTTCTGAGCTTCCAGTGCTGTGGGAAAAAGCAGCAGCTTTCAATATCATGTCGAGTCGAGTCTGTACTGGTGTCTTGCTTGAAATGGATTCCAACTCTTGATTTAATTTAGCCGAAAGTTGATGTGAGCAAAAATAATATATAAATTCTGTAACTCGCATGTTTCCAGCTTCCTGCTCACTTCTGAGCATGTTTTCTCAAGCTTCATAGTCTCCTCTACAAACCTGCAAGACATTGAAGATGCTACTACATTTGATCGAAAGTCTGTATCCACAAAAACACCTGGGAAGGACCAGAGTAAATATTTTTTTTATAAAACGGAGAGTTCCGGTGCTTGATTCTGATTGGCTGAGCCACGTTCGAAGCTGTTGTAAATTACTCTACAAAGTAACATACACCTTTGTTTACTTCTGTGTGTTGCTCGGCAACCACTTTGTTGCAACCACAACTGATTCTGAGGAGCTACATTGTTTGGTGGAAGAATGCTGTTTTTATTAATATCATTACACTTTATTTGCTCTGTTTTATTTTGTGAAACCTTACTACGTATATGGAATAACCGTTTTATAAAAGCAATAATCCCCGTGAAGCCGTGGTTTACGGTGAATTTATAACAGCTAAGGGGGTTTTAGGCACTCCGCTTACGCCCCTTAGCTGTTATAAATTCACTGTAAACCACGGCTTCTTGGGGCTCATTGCTTTATTAATTTTCCACCTACTTTTGAAACAGACTCTCAGTTAATCACACAGTATTCATCCAGGTCTCTATGCATTGCCGACATAACAGTGACCATATTTGAGTAGGTTCTCTGGATAACAACCTCTCAGTGGCTTTTAATTGGTCATCTAAATCAGTGAATGATGACAAAAAAGTTTTTGGTAGAATGCGTCATTTTAATAACTAATGCTCGAACAAACACAAATTACTCAGTTTTGAACCTCAAGTGCAAATGCAACACAGGTCACCATGCATAAAATAAAGCATAAAAGACTCGAGGCTAACGACTCCTTGCTGGATTATAAGCGCAATCGGGGACGTCCTGTTTGCATTTTAAACTTGGCCTATAATAAAATGTCATCTATATGCATTTACATACTTTATTATGATGCTGGCATGCCGTAATTCGGGGACAGTGAAACATTTAGCTTATTATCTTTAGGGGAAGTCAACTTAATGTTGCGTGTTTTAATTTAAAGCCTAATATTTTGAGATCAGACAGTAATTGGCAAACCCCCTGCAGCACCACCACAGACCCCCTTGGCTTAAAAGAATAATGCAGTTTAAAATGATTAAACTTTAAGACGCACTGAATGCATTTATTATGAAAAGCCAGCGGCCAGAATATGAAAGCAGACACAGCTGTTTGTGTGTTGACTGACATAACTTTTCACCCCCCCCACCCAAAAAACTAACGTTTCCTGTAAACTAAAATAAAAGATTAAAGTTAAGAGGAAATGTTTCCACATGCGAGGCATTTGTGTAGATGATGTGTTGCACTATTCAGGATAGTCATAAATGCTGAATTCCTTTCCGTTCTGTGTCTTATTTGTCTTTCTTGCTCTCTGGTTCCTCCTCCTCCTCCTCCTCATGTGGCTGCTCTAATTCAGGAGCCTCCGGCAGGAGTGTCTTCGGTTCCTCAGGCTTCTCTCCTTTGCTAAATTTCTTACATCTCTGGAGAATCTCATTTAGGTTGAACTCTCGAATTATATTTTCCTGTAAAACACACAAACGCATGTCTTAGTGAGGAATAGCGAATTGCTTTGTATGCGGTGCTGGGTAGATTACTTACAAATTGTAGATTGTTATTGATTACATGATGACAACTGTAGTTAGTAACTGAATTACACATATGTGACCCTGGAGCACAAAAGCAGTGTTAAGTCGCTGGGGTATATTTGTAGCAATAGCCAACAATACATTGTATGGGTCAAAATTATCGATTTTTCTTTTATGCAAAAAATCATTAGGATATTAAGTAAAGATCATGTTCCATGAAGATATTTTGTAAATTTCCTACCGTACATATATCAAAACTTAATTTTTGATTAGTAATATGCATTGCTAAGAACTTCATTTGAACAACTTTAAAGACGATTTTTTCAATATTTAGATTTTTTTTGCACCCTCAGATTCCAGATTTTCAAATAGTTGTATCTCAGCCAAATATTCTCCTATCCTAACAAACCATACATCAATGGAAAGCTTATTTATAAATCTCAATTTCATAAAATTGACCCTTATGACTGGTTTTGTGCTCCAGGGTCACATATTAGGTAATGTAGTCTGACTACTTTTTAGATTACTTTTTTAAATCAAACTTGTTTAAACTTACCATTAGATGTACCATATTGATATAAAAAGCAAAGATAATTTTTTTGGTATAAACATCATAAAATGCATTAAACATGACATTACACCGGGGTTTCCCAAACTGGCTGAACTGCAGAGGGTTTGAGAGTTGATAAAAAAACTAACAATTAATTCAATCATAAAAATGTAAAATAAAAATAAACTGAAAAACACTTGAAGACTAAACAGAGAAATATTTTATTTGTTTACCTGCATGTCAATGTGAGCGTTAACCGACATCAGAGAACTGTAAACATTTAAATTGTTAAATTACTGCAATATTAACTTCCTCAATGATATTTCAAGTAAATATTTTATTTTAAGAGGTTTGGTTGAAAAAAAAAAAAACCCATATGGGAATCCCTGCATTACATGAACAAACATTAATAAACATGAAAACTGTAATGACATTACACACCCAGAGCAAATATTTTTGTCCAGACTTCAACAGTTACTGAAGGTCACTGGATATGATGACTACATAGTGTTCCCCAGCACTAGTATATAAATATAAGACTGATTACCCCTTGGTTAAGTGCTAGTTAGTTAAACTGGTTCTAAGACACTGTCTTAACATAGAGGCTAAATTTATGCAACTGCCCCCTGATTACATAATCCAGATTACATGTAATCCGTTACTGCCCAGCAGTGTTTGTGCATCTTTCTCAAGAGTGTCAGACTTCTGAAGCGCTTTACCTCAGTGCAGTTCCACCCAACGGCTCGTCCCTTCATGTCCACTAGCGGGCGGCGCATGAGTTCTCGACCACCTTGCAGGAGCAACAGAGAAGGCAGCTGCTTGCAGAGCGGCGAGGGGTTTACCTTATACCTGTAATGAGATGAGAGCATAGGACTGCAAAGTTAAATGCAACGAGTAAGGCAAGTGCTAAATGGAAGACACTAGGCAAATAGACTCACCTCTCGGCAGCTGCTGCATATTGTCCAATGTCCACTTTTCCAAATTTGAGGCCTAAGCAGTCATACCTAGTGAACATAAAGTCATTAACCTCGTGAAGACGTGCGAGAGTGCAAGTGTGTGTGACTTACTTGAGTGACAGGTCAGCAAAAATAGGAGCAAATGTCTGACACTCTGGAGACCAGTTGGCATAAAACTCAACAATCCATGTCACACGACCGTCCCTCTGCAGCTCTTCCTGACAATACGCAGAAAAACATGCACAATGATTAGTTTAGGATAAGATAAGAGGATAAAGGTCTCAGTTTCTGACATAAGACAATATCTAATTTTTGTATATTATAGAGTAAGATATAAGATTTGGATGATGACTTTTCTATTAATATAAATTGCTATAAGAATAAACCATTTTTTTTAAATTTGGAATGGACAAAAATGATAACAAATTACATGGTTTTAAATAAGAAATTGTTAAATTGGAAAAGAAAGAAAACATCTTAAAGGAACAGTGTACCCAAAAATAAACAAGAAAATGTACTCATCCTCAGGTCATCCGAGATGAGTTTGTTTCTTGTAGAAATGTAGCATTGCATCAGTGTCTCAGCAATGGATGCTCTGCAGTGAATGGGTGCCGTCAGAATGAGAGCTGATAAAAACATCACAAGTAATCCACAGCACTCCAGTCCATCAGTTAACCTCTAGAGAAGACAAAAGCTAGAACAAATCCATCACTTTTTAACTTTAAACCATTGCTTCTGACAAAAATACATTGTTTTTTCAGCTGTTTGGACTCTCGTTCTGACGGCACCCATTCACTGCAGAGCATCCGTTTCTGAGACACTGATGCACTGCTACATTTCTCCAAACCTGATGACGAAACAAACTCATCTGCATCTTGGCTGACCTGAGGGTGTGAACTATTCCTTTAATGCTTTAATGCTTTACTCACATCTATAGTTGAGTCACTGAAGTATTTGATGAACTCGGGGCCCATGTAGATTGGTGGCTTACATGTGATAAGGAACACTGTATAGAGAAGGCACGGTAGTTCGCAGTTCGGAATCACAGTTTTTGCTCTTGATTATTTTTGCAATCATGTTTTCATGCTTCCCATCATTTATTTACCCACACACAGCGTGAGGTAGAGAAGGCCGAGTCTCAGGTCCACTCGAAAAAACAGCACCACGTTCGCCACCTTACTGAAGAGAAATATATTCCCTATGTGCTGCTCCAGTGTTACTGAGAGAGAGAGAGAGATCACTCCTCAGTTAAAGAAAGCACCATGCATCAATGCAGATATTATTCATGAATATCTTGTGTGATTGTGTGTGTAATCTGATGAATGTAATCACATTTAACGCATGTAAACGTACTGGCTCTGCGGTTCTTCATCATGACAATAGCGCTGAGAAACATTAAAATCTCCACCTCCCTCTACACAGAGCAATTACACGTGTTATTCAAATATATAAACACATTAGAAAATGTTTGCAAATATATAATTGCATATACTGTATATATACACAGTAAAAACAGTAATATTGCTAAATATTATTACAATTTAAAACAGATGTTTTCTATGTGAATATCTGTTAAACTGTAATTTATTTCTGTGATCAAAGCCGAATTTTCAGCAGTCTTCAGTGTCACATGATCTTCAGAAATCATTCTAATATGCTGATTTGCTCAAGAAACATCTCTGATTATTATCAATTTTGAAAACAGAAATCGCGATACACATACCATTCAAAGGTTTGGGGTACAAAAAAATATATATATTAGAGATTAGTACTTTTATTCATTAAGTTGATCAAACATTTGAAAAAAAGAGAGATTTATAATATTACAAAAAATCAATTAACTTTTCATTCATCAAAGAATCCTGAAAAAAAATGCATCACACAAATATTAAGAAGCAAAAGCTCTTTTTCACATTAAGAACATCAATAATAACTGAGCAGCAAATCAGCATATTAGAGTGATTTCTGAAGATCATGTGACACTGAAGACTGGAGTAATGATGCTGAAAATACAGATAAATAAATTAGTTTAACAGATATTCACATAGAAGACAGCTATTTTAAATTGCAATAATATTTCACAATTTTTACTGTATTTTAAATTAAATAAATGCAGACTTCTGTAAATAAAATCAAATGTACTGTTCTTACATACATATTTAAGCTATATAACTATGACACTATTGTATAAAATACACTTAAGAGACTTAAGTGTTAAAGAGACAGCACACACAGAATGCATGCATGCAAGTGCAAAGTGTAACAATAAAGCAATAATAAAACACCAACAGTAAACTATCATGTCAGCTTTCCAAATGAGCACCAGCACAGACCCAGTCAAAGGCGCAGGAGTTGCTGTCCTCTCTCTGAGACGGTAAATACTCGCAGAGTCCGGGACAGCTAAGCACGATGGGGAACGCCACGGTCATCAGCAGTGACATCGAGTAATAGGGCCGATAAAACCATTTATAAACCTTTGGAAGGCAGTATAGAGTGGAAACCAGTCCTCTAATTAAACTCATTGCTGCAGACGCATGACAGACTCCCATGTGCTGAAGTAAAGTGAGGAGAGAGCAGAAATAGATCACTGACAGCTGAGAGTCGTAACGTGAACCCTCAGGCCATAGAAACGCGTTTCGAGAAAACGATTTGAAACCCGCGGCTGCTCGCTTGCCGTAGTGTGATGCGTACTTTGCGCTCGGCGGGGACTTTTGTAAACATCTACAGCGCGATGGAGGAGTCAGAGAAGAGCAGTGAATCTGTTTCGGCTGAAACTAATGTGGATAACGTGGAGGATGTTTCGTCTCAGGCATCGGCTCGTCGGAGTGATTCGGTTAAGGCATCGCAATCCAAAACGAGACTCAAACTCTTCAATAAAGTGACGGAGAAGAGTCTGCGGTGGCTGCTGGACAACCCCAGGTATAAAACACAGCTCATTCGCGTTAAAACAGATGCTGTTGTTGCCTCTTACGAAGTTAGTTCCGCTCTGTGTGTCAGTTTCGACAGGTTTTCCCACTATTTCCAGCCCCTGTCAAAGCAGAACCCTCAGCTGACCGAAGCCACGCACAAACAGTTCATCAGCCAACTGCAGACTTTAGTTCTGGTAATAACATCTGCTAGTGATGGGCGCTTTCGAAACGCTGCTTCGTGAAGCTTCGAATCCTTTGCGAATCACTTGTGTCCGAGTCAGTGATTCGGATCGCGCGTCGGTCAAACCGCTAAAGTCACGTGATCAGACCGTGGGTTTTTTGTTGACATTTTATTTGACGTATTTGTGTAATAAAAAGGCAGAGTTGCATTACTCTCTTATTGTCCTAAAAAAAACAAGCCCTATAATTTAATAAAATATATAATACATGTACACTGCTGTTCAAAAGCTTGGGATCAGTAAGATTTTTAATGTGTTTTAAAGTCTCTTCTGTTCATCAGGGCTGCATTTATTTGACCAAAAATACAGAAAAAAACTGTAATATTGTGAAATATTATTACCATTTAAAATACTGGTTTTCTATTTTAATGTAATTTATGTCTGTGATCAAAGCTGAATTTTTTTTATTTTATTTACAGAAGTCTCTTGTGCTCACCAGGGCTGCATTTATTTAATTAAAAATACAGTAAAAATGGTGAAATATGATTAAAATGTAAAATAGCTGTCTTCTATGTGAATATCTGTTAAACTGTAATTTATTGCTGTGATCAAAGCTGAATTTTCAGCATCATTACTCCAGTCTTCAGTGTCACACGATCCTTCATAAATCATACTAATATGCTGATTTATTATCAATGTTGAAAACAGTTTTGCTGCTTAATACTTTTTTGGAACCTGTGATACTTTTTTTCAGGATTATTACATTTTCTCATTTCTTCTTACATTCTTATTACTGTAATGCAAAAAAAGGTGTAGCCTAATGAAAATGGTAAAGTTTAAGTTTATTCGTAGGCCTCATGGTATTATTACATTTATGCATTTGCCAGGTGCTTTTACCCAAAGTGACTGTATTCAAGGTTTATCAGTTCATGCATTTCCAAGGAATCGAACCCATGACAGTGGCGTTGCTAGCGCCATGGAATCAAATGTATTTTTCTTTCCTTTGGGAAAGTGTGGTCCAGAGTTGGGTGTCATCTCACAAATTACATGTGGGTAATATGACGGATTGATGTGTGTAACGTTCAGCTATGCATTTGTGCTTTAGTAGTGATGATGTTTTGTGGTGTGGTGTGTGTGTTTAGAAAGAAATCTCCACTGTGATTGAGGAGGGAGACCTGCAGGTGAAGTTTGAAGAGTTGGACAGACTGCAGGAGCTTGCTAAAGATACACCACAAGCTGCATGGTGAGATGATAACCTGACTCCACAGCGTATTGTCTTTTATAATGAAAATAAATAAATAAATGAAACACAAGCAATGGCCAAAATATTTTTAATCAATGCTATAGGCAGTTATTCTGCTTTGAACTGTGAGTTCCGTGTCGGAATGTCTGTTTTTGTTTTGGTCTGCGTGACTCCGCCCACTGACAGTTTACCCAATAGTATTTCAACACTCCGGGTTGCCAGTTGCTGGAAAACTCAGCGTATTGCGGCCATGGAAGCCAGCAAACGAACCGAGTCAGAGATCGCAGATTCAACCCGACCTAAAAAGTCTTGGCATCCATCTAAACCGCTCTATGACCAGAGGCATATTAAAATGCGGATAAATTAACTCATCAACTTGGCACTCATTCTGTTGCGTGTCTACAATCTGGCAACCCACATGAGCATCTAGTACTCTGAGGAGGGGGCGGGGCAAGCATCTCTATTTAATATTTTAAATTTGGACTGCAGTAGCTGTCAGTATTACATACTGCACCTTTAAATCTCTAAACACTACTATTGCACTTAGTTTCACATTAACATTTTTAGTTTTGAGTCCTGTATATGTACTGTGTCTTGATGCTGTCGTTGAGGCTCATGCTGTATATTGCAGGCGTCCGATGTGTGCAGTGGTTTAGTGTCGTATTATAAGAAGCAGGAGGAGTACATGCGGATTCAGCTGAAGAAGCTCCAGAAGGCCACCTCTGTAGTACAAATTAATTTATTAATACTAATTTCATATGATTGGTAACTTATTTGTCATAAGTTATAAGTTCAGAGGTGGCACAGAAGAACACAAAAGTGGCTTGTAGGTACATTTTCAGACGAGGCTCAGAGATTCATGTTGAGATTAATGTTTTTAATATACAATTTTGAATACAGAAATATGATTTAAATAACTGAAATTATATGCTAAAAATGAAACTAAATCTGCCAGTAGGTGGCGGCAAGTCACTGATTTTATCACTGAATCATTCATTCAATTGATTCGTTCAAACGGCTGATTCATTCAGGAATGAAGCAAGTCTTTATGAACTGACGGAAATCCGTCATAGCGACGGAACTTTAATCCCAGAGTGAAGCCTGAATATAATTTTACTGTGCATCTGCAAGGTTTATTTAGATTTTCATTAATATGTGTACTCTATTCATTAAACGTCTTATGCACGTATGCACAGTGTTGTTTCATTGTCTTTCTATAAAGAATAAATAAATGAAAAAAAAACACAATGGAATCATTGCAATGGAAGAAATAAATAAATGAAAAATCTCCATGGCAACTAGAATTTCTAAAAGTATCATAGTAACTACAGTTAAGTTTCTAAATATATAAATATGGTATTTCCTGCATTATATGAAGCCTTCGTAATCTTGCAGTTTTTTCATTGTATTATTGATTAAAGTGTTAACAGTTTTATTATTGTATTTAATATATTGGTGGAAACAATATTCACCATGGTAAATATTGTGGTTATTACAATAAATACACTAATAAAATTAAAGTAATTCAAGCTTATTAAATTGTAGCCTGTGTATTAACAGAAACTGGCTGTAAAATAAGGTTTTTGTTAAAAAAGCCAAGTGACATTTCAGTGTATGTCAAGTTCCTGGTTTTAATCCAGAGTACAAGCATATGACAGATTTGGCATTGTAATAGTAAAATTAGTTAAATATAAAAATTGATTATAAATAATTGGAGGTGTGCTGTGAATCACTAGAGGGTGTTGACAATCACTGCATTATCAAGTAGAGTGCGCTTATCATCGTGTCATTACGGTAATGTTGATAACGTGCTGTACAAGACCAGGGTTGCCAGGTCCGCGGTTTTCCCGCGGAATTGGGCTACTATAACCCTGTTTTTGTACAGTCTATACTTTAACCCTGTTGCCGCGGGTTGAAGCGACCCCAATAACGTGATATTTATCCCCTGGGATGCAAATTTAGTCAGGGGAACCCTACCAAAAACGCGTATTTTACGTGTATTTTACCCTCCTTCCCCTGGAACGCGATTGGGCAGGTTTTGTTGTGAAAACCTGGCAACCCTGTAGCAGAGAGACGCTTGAACACAATGCGTCTGTAACCGGCAGCCGATCGGATCTTTTTATGTGTACGTTTTATATAATTGTATATGCATGATTTCGTTTCAGAAGTTATGACGGAAATATATTCAACTTTGTTCGGACAAAATGACACTCAGCCACCCACGGGGCCAGCAGCTTTGGGGTTCGGCCCCGGAAAACCTCTGCCGCCGATGCCGACAAACCAAGCGCCGGTGGCGGCTCAGATTCCAGGACAGCTCGGGGATGAGGGGCCTACGCTGCGAAAACCCGGTGCTATGAACGAACCTTTCTATTTACTACGAGAACTGCCCGGTAAATACGTCAGTAGTGCTTAAGAATACAGTATGGCGTGTGTGTGATTTGTAATAATGTTATGCAATTTGTTAAACTGCACCCGGATGAGCTTTCGTGTTTGTTTTGACTCAGTTGGAAACGACCTGACGGGAAACACGAACCTCATCACGCACTACAGTCTGGAACACGCGTTTAATAAATTCTGCGGCAAGAAAGTTAAGGAGAAACTGAGCAACTTTTTACCAGAGTTACCAGGTAAAGTAAATATGAGTGTGGCAGAACTAGTGTTTTTGTTTACATAATATGTGTGTGTGTACTGTGTATATTTATGTATATATAAATACACAAACATTATATAGTGTTTGCTCATCTGCAATACTTCTAAAGGACGTTTCCTATCAGATGTCAAATAGACATTTAGAAGATGTCTATATGATTTAGAATGTATGTAAAACTGACATCTTAAAGACGTCTATCAGATGTGTGTACACAGCATCTTTAACAGACCTCTTGCAGACGTACGTGTGCGATGTTAGTGTCATAGTAAGTTGTGTTTTCTCTCTTGCAGGTATGATAGACTGTCCAGGGATTCAGGATGGCAGTTCTCTGCACTCTCTCATAGAAAAGCCTCCGGTTTGTGGAAACTCTTTCAGTCCGCTGACGGGAGCTCTACTCACTGGATTTCGATTGCACACTGGCCCGGTAAACCTAGACCAACATACTGTCTAAAACAGCGGTTTTCAATCCTGGTGCTGGGGACCACTGCTCTGCACATTTTGCATGTCTCCCTTATTTAACACACCTGATTCAGATCATCAGTTCGTCAGGTAAGAGAGACTAGGCAAAATGTGCAGAGTGGTGGTGGGTCCCCAGGACCAGGATAGAAACCCACTGGTCTAAAACATGATCTTAGAGCCTCGTACTTATAGTGTTGGTGTGTGTTGTAGCTTCCAGAGCAATACAGACTGATGCACATACAGCCGCCAAAGAAAAAGAGCAAAAACAAATACCGACATCACCGACCTCAGGATCCTCTGCCACCAGGTGACACACAAACCTGATGTATTTCACATGCACACAAACGCATACGGGCATTAACTAACTCGCCTGTGTTTCCCGTGCAGAGACCCCCTCAGATTCTGACCCCAAGAAGAAGAAGAAAAAGAGGGATGATGATCCTGATCGCAAGAAGAAAAAGAAAGACAAGAAGAAGAAAAAGGTGAGCGACTCACAGGGCACGATTACAACAGTCCAGCGGTCCAAATTACTTGAACAAGACTATTATAGGCTATTATATTATAAAAGCAGCCAATAATGATGTGAAACGTGGAAGTTTTACATGTCTAAAGAATATAAAGTGAATTGACTGGTCTTCATCAGCTCAGCTTTTTACGTAAACAATGAGAAAGCATTTAAACAATCCTATTTGCAGATGCCTTTGTGTTCTGTGCATGATTTTAAAACATCTGGTTTCACTGTACTGCTTTTTCTCTTAGAATCGACACAGTCCTGATCATCCTGGTCTCACTGGATCTCAACCCAACAGCCTGAGATAGAACCTGTGTCTGTGTGTGCGAGTGTCTGTGTGTGTGTGCGAGTGTCTGTATGTGTGTGTGCGAGTGTCTGTGTGTGTCTGTGAGAGTGTGTGTGTGTGTCTGTGAGAGTGTGTGCGTGTGTGCGTGCGCGTGCGTGTGAGCGTGAGTGTGAGCGTGCGTGTGTGTGTGTGTATGTGCATGGAAGAATGTTGAACAGTGTTAGAAGAGACCCTGATATGGACCAGTGTGTTTGATGTCTACAAAGCCTGATTGTTGAAGATGTCTGCCTTTTTTTCTGGTTGTAAAGAAAACCTGAATGAATAAACTTTATTCTTTACACATGCTTCAAATGAACTTTTTCCACAGCAACAGAGCAACTATAACAAATGATATATTGTACATGACTGGAGAATGAGCACAATCAAAATGTGAATAATCTTTAATGACTGCATTAAAGATTATACATTTCTGGTGTATTATTTCCAAACAGCTAGTTTACCCAGTATGGGGCTCTGGTCAGATTTTGGTAGAGCCGCATGCATGGAAAAGTACAAAATTCTTAAAAAGTCACACATTGATATAGACAAAATAATTTGTTCCGTTTATGCTCAGCTATAACATCAACTAGAAGCGAGTGGAATCTAGTAAAACGTCTTTTAAAATCCTTATCCAGTCTGGAGAGGGCAGTGTTGAAAAAAGACTATCAGACATTGTCTGTTTTAGTGTAGTGTTAAATAACAGCTCTATTAAAAAAAACAAAAAAAAAACCATTTCCTGTTAAGTTCCTGAAGTGTCCGGAAATCAGCGAAACTGTTTCTGAGATCACGCTCTCGGGGAAAAAAAGATTCAAAATCTGTTGCTGGGTTTGTGTCTTTTCAAAAGGTACAGCTTTGTACTGTATTTATCCCTAAAGGTACACACCAGTACCTAAAAGGTGCACTTTAGTAGCTTCTGAAAGGGTACCGTCCCAGTGACAGCTGTTGTACCTTTTTCTGAGAAAAAAAAAAAAGAGATACATATAGATGAGAGCGGGCTGATTTGAGCCTGTGGGCAAGTTGAGCCTTGTTTCTAGACAACCTTAGAGAAAATCGGTGATGTGGCCACAAATATATGAGGATTTTTCCATTTTACTCACCCGGTGATGGAGAGAGGCCTGTGGAATAATTGGTAAAAAACAGTTTTTGCTGTTCAAAGTGATTTGTTTTAATGTTCAAGGACTCATGCTTCTTGTGTCTGAACAATTACCGACAAATCTGAATACAGCTCTGAGGATTTTTTTTTTCTAGTGGATGATTTATTACATTCTTTGTCATTATTTCTGACAGAAAACAGCAAATTACAAACAAATAAGCCGATTTATTAACTACAATAATGGTAAGAAAAATTGATTATGTGAGCATTAGTTTAATTGTTTGTTCATGAGCTGCCCCAGATTTAGTGTAAAGCCAAAATGCTGTGTAATATCCTAAAAATCATACTCCTGGTAGGCTACCGAAGGCGGATTTGCATGCGAGTCAATGAAAAGCAGCGTCAGAGCGTGTAAAAGTTGAAATTCTTTTAACTTGACACGAATTCGAAGTTTCAGATTTCTGTTTATAATTTAATATTTTCATTCATGGTTCTGTATTCACAGACAGTGCATATAACATTATTTTTTATATTTGTAATTCCCGTTTAAATGCACTTATATTTGCACTTTTTAACTCTATACGCCTTGTATTTATAGGCCTATCAGTTTCGTAAAGAATTATTTAAATTATTTTACCTGATTACAAAGTACCTGAAAACCATACTTTAGTAAAAGTACAGATACCTTCAGTGAAAATACTCTATTACAAGTTACAAGTCACCAGTTACAATGAGAGTATCTGATTTTAACAGTACTTAAGTATTTTACTTTATATATAGGCTCAAAGATGCACTAGTCAAAGAAAACTAGAGTTAAGAGTACAGATGCTTATTAAAAAATGTAGTGAAGTAGAGAGTAAAAGTTGCTAATATCTTTGTAAAACTACAGAGTATCCAAAAAGATACTCAAGTCCTGTAGCTAATTACATTTACTCAAAGACTTCACACCTCTGCCTGAATAAAACCAGTGTTGGTGTTGTTAACCAAGACTATTAAAACCACAAAATGCATTTTCCTTGACTGAAATAACCAAAATAAAAAAATGTAAATATTAGATGAAAAACTTAAATGAAAATTAGAACTGCTGCATTGGCAACTATTTTTTTATACTGCAGGCACCACCAGATGGAGACATGCTTCAAGTGAACTCAATCAAGACTCAAGTGAACAATTCACAATGACTGACTGCATATTTTATTTTTGCCATTTCAAATCTGACGTTCTTGCACTCTGTACACGGATGCTTTCTTCCTCTCGCACATTCTCCACTGCTCCCATATGGATTATTGCATCCATGTCTAAGAAAGTCTTTGGTTTCCCACATTTCTCTCATGGTGAGATTGGAATTGTGATATTCAATAATAACATAAGGCACTAGACTCGCACAAAACATCTGAAAGAGAGACTGCTGTAAGCACATCATCGGTTGCTCTCGGCTGCACCCTGACCTTTACAAAACCCACTCAACCCATCCCGCAAGCACGTAAATATCATGAAGAAACCTCACACTATTTATAGAGCACATCTACTTTAAGCTGCACAGAAATACAAAAATAAATTTCCCTTTCAGTGGCTATGAAACTAAAATGCACAGAAAAGCTGAACACAAACACACACAAAAAATCATTTCTGTTTCTCTATAAAAAAATCTCGTTAAATCTGCCTGAAATGTTTTAGCTTTTGGATAACACTTAACGTAGTGAACCTAAGGTTCTAAAAAGCGGTGTCTTTGGTGGCAGCTGAAATGCTGATGTTGACTGTTTCTCAAGTTTTCAAAAGACATAAACAGACACTATTATACAACAATCAACCATCGCTCTTTCTCTTTGGTGAAGACGCTGAACAGACAGACGAAGCGCCATCGGCTGAGGAAGTTCATGTCCGTCAATCCCAGCCAATGGTTCAATAAAAATTCTCTCTAAAAACACTGCATTGTTTTCGCAGGCAGATTTCCAGATTTTTAATACAAATACTCATATTCTGAATCAGCTGATCATCGAACAAGACAACACTGATCTGATGTTTGCTTCTGCAGCCATCAGCCGAATGTCTCTCATGCAACAAAAAATATAAACGTTGCATGTTTAATGAGGATGGCAGAGTTTGCCATTGCATGTTGAAATGTGAACGGTCCCGTGACAGTCCTGTGATGCTCCGTTAGGCTTCCTGCGGGACGTGACCGTTGCTGTGTCCGTTGGCCAGCGGCTGGTTTAGCGCTTGATTCTCAACAGGCGCGTGTCCGTTTGCTTTCCCCGCGGCCCTCGTCTGAAGCAGCTGTCTGCGGTGGTAGAACAAGTATCCCGGCAACAGGAAACCGGCCAATGAGAGGATCAGAAGCCCCACGTTGATCTGATCGGATTGAAAGGAAATACATTTACCATCTAAATTGCATGTAGAGATGAAACGGTATGAAATGTGCATATCACGACTACAGTGACCAAAATGTGACCCTGGAGCACAAAACCAGTCATAAGGGTCAGTTTTTTGAAAGCTGAAAGCTGAATAAATAAGCTATCCATTGATGTGTGGTTTGTTAGGATAGGACAATATTTGGCTGAGATACAACTATTTGAAAATCTGGAATCTGAGGGTGCAAAAAAATCTAAATATTGAGAAAATCATCTTTAAAGTTGTTCAAATGAAGATCTTAGCAATGCATATTACTAATCAAAAATTTAGTTTTGATATATTTATGGTAGGACATTTACAAAATATCTTCATGGAACATGATCTTTACTTAATATCCTAATGATTTTTGGCATAAAAGAAAAATCGATCATTTTGACCCATACAATGTATTGTTGGCTATTGCTACAAATATACCCCAGCGACTTAAGACTGCTTTTGTGCTCCAGGGTCACATATGATCAGATGTTTGTCAATGAGCTCAGGCTCTGTCAGTCATCTCTTCTTACTGTTCTCTCGAGCCTTGATCAGTCAAATCTGACTCCTGCAGCTCGTGTTGGATGCAGGGTTGCCAAGTCCTCGTTTTTTTCCATGGAATTGGGCTACTTTTAAACTGTTTCTGTGGGTTGATTTTTCCCCGTTGGTTAAAGGTTTGAAATATTGCATAAATTCCATTTGACTGAAATGCTTGTATTGAAATATTTTCATAAAACTGCACTAAATGTCAAGTTTGTGAAGGAGGGCCACTGGTAGGAAGCCTTTGAGCAGTAACTGTAAACTATGTATTTTAGGTATGGAAATGTCATTTTGATGTTTGGGATATGGTCATTGTGTGGTTTTTGATGGCCATTGGGCTAGTTTTGTCACACAGACCTGGCAACCCTGGCTGTACGGAGCAGAGCAGACGCTTTCAGTTTAGAATTGTAGTGTAGGTTATAACTAAACTAAATTATTTTTATTTCTATAAACAAGCGGAATGACAGTGGGCAGGCAAGTAATGTAATCAGTATACGACCAAACGCTGTGTAACACCGACAGCCGCAGCAAGACTAGTGTTTATGTAACTCCTTCATTCTTGTCATGCTATATTTGTTTGACCGCCCGCTCCCGCGAGATTTGCCTTGTGTACGCAGCCCTCTAATATGAGATCAAATGATTATTTGACATAGGGCTGTGCGATATATATCATCTGAGATAATATTGAATTGTTGTTTTAACGATGTGCAATTTGACATTATCGAGTATTTTGCAAAAACCAAACAAAACACCTACGGAGTGCACGCATACATTACGTGAAGAAGTCTAGTGGGCTAAACAGTGCGCGTGCGCATTTAGAGAGTGTTCGTTCACTGCATGATTCAGTCTATTAAAATGCATTAAGAAAGATCACAAAATTCAAGATATGGGGGCAGAAACATATATCATTTATATATAACGTTAGTTAAAATCATACGAAGAGTGACGTTTTTTTCTTCAAAAATCAGCACGATTACAAATGTGATACTGCTTTTATACAACAGTTCAATAAACAATAAGTTAATATTAAGAGACTTACGTTTTTGACACCATATTGCCTGTTTTTGCTCTATTTCGCCAACCAAAAATAATTCCAAACAAAGCCACAGCGCTGTTGTGCATCTCTGAGCAACATGACGGTGTTTCGTTCCTGAATGAATCACTCGTTTAAATGATTCGGTTCAATCGCAATGACTCACTTATTAACAGTGACTTGCTGCCACCTACTGGCGGTTTTGATTTCACATTTAAAGTATCTTTTCTTTCTTTTTTTTATAATTTCAAACATCAGTTTTAAACATTTTGTGTTTAAAATATCAAAACATTATGCATTTGTAACTGCAGGTTAAAGCATGTCCCTCTGAGCTGAATTAAATAGTGTGCAAATGCATCTTAAATGCCACTTCAGATGCAACTTCTGCAAAGATTCGAGTGAGCGGTGGAACCTGTTTGAGGTTAATATGCTCTGAACACGTTTGACTCGTATCTGTGACCGAAGCCGATGAGAGAGATCCGTCTCGGTGTGTTTCAGACTCGACTCTCAATGCATGAAACGAACGGCTCAGGTTTATAAAACTAATCTGTGCTGTTTAGAAAACCCTGAACTCCAAAGACGTGACTTGAGTTTAGCGTCTGAGACTCGTGAACATGTTGAGGTCTTTTATACAACAGTTCAATAAACAATAAGTTAATATTAAGAGACTTACGTTTTTGACACCATATTGCCTGTTTTTGCTCTATTTCGCCAACCAAAAATAATTCCAAACAAAGCCACAGCGCTGTTGTGCATCTCTGAGCAACATGACGGTGTTTCGTTCCTGAATGAATCACTCGTTTAAATGATTCGGTTCAATCGCAATGACTCACTTGTTTACAGTGACTTGCTGCCACCTACTGGCAGTTTTAATTTCACATATAAAGTATATTTTATTATTTAAATAATTTCAAATATCAGTATTCAACGGTTTGTGTTTAAAATATCAAAACATTATGCATTTGTAACTGCAGGTTAAAGCATGTCCCTCTGAGCTAAATTAAATAGTGTGCAAATGCATCTAAATGCCACTTCACATGCAACTTCTGCAAAGATTAATTTTGTTGATACTGATTTCATTTGTTTGGTAACAGCCTAAATGACTTATCGAGATATAATTTTTTTTCAATATCGCACACCCATATTTCGACAATAAAAATACTTGCCGACACTTGTTTTTTTTTGACATCGTCAATAATGTCTAATTGTTTCAGCCCTAAATATAACTGATGAAGAAGTGTGTTTCTTACCCAGTAAGCATCTCCATTCTGATGTCCCACCATAACCATGAAGAGCGGCTGCTGCAGCAGAGCCACCACTGCACTGATCATAGACTGCAGCCCGGTGAGGGTGCCAAAATGATTGGACGGGTATCTGTGAGAGAGAGAGAGAAGGCAAGACTATTCACAGAAAATACTCGTCCTACTGATGTCTTGCCTAGACCTATTTCATGCACAGCTACTCTGTGTCATAGCTCTCTCTGTCTTCCGTCTCTCTTTCTCTGTCAGGTACTGGATATCTGAGTTCCCAGCTGAGTTTGACCTGAACCCCGCTCTGGCTGAGCAGATCCGCGGTCTAAAAGGGCGACTGGAGCAGAATGGAGATGTGAGGCGAAGTCTGCTCATCGACATAGACAGCATGTGAGTCACAGGGGCACAGAACTCACCCAAACCGCTGCTCCTTTGATACAGAGGGCTGGAGAATGTGGGGGAATAGTGTACTGAACATCACAAACAAGCTGCATGTCTGAGATACTCAAACAGCTAGAAGTTCTTAGGTCAATGACAAATAAGAATGTCAAAGATGATAGAAAAGTCTAGTTAAAAACAAATAAAAAGTTATTTGTATTTGTGGATATCTATCTATCTCTCTATATCTATCTAATTTAAATATACACATGTATGTGTGTGTGTGTGTGTGTGTTTGTACTCACACAGCAGCATACAGTCCTCCACAACACGAGTGAATGAAACCTCGTACCATAGTGTGAAAAATAAACGTCAGAATCTGGACAAAGAGAGCGAGAGTTATTAGAACATTCCCATCTACTGCAATTAAGACAGTTCTTATGCAAATAAACTCATGCTCCAAAGTTAGGGCTCAGTCAGATTTTTAAAAAAGAAAATACTTTTAAGACCCATTCACACCAAGAACAATAACTATAAAGATGTTTGGGTGCCAAAATGATTGGACGGGTATCTGTGAGAGAGAGAGAGAGAGAGAGAGAGAGACACTTCGTTTGTCCATAGTCTGCAGGCTGCTTAATTTTGAGACTGTAATGAAATGTTGTGGCACTGAAATGACAGGTCAAAAGGCGTATGTGTGATTTCATCAGGGCAACATAATACATGTTACAGGGATTGAATTTTACACATACTCTGCGTTATACTTCACACACAGACAGGGCAAACCTGATCCCGTGAAGTGCAGTTTTATAACCATCTGATTTTATAAGAGCGGGATAAGTCTGTACTTGCTATTTAACAGGTTTAGAGGAAGCAGTGTGTGTTTGTGTGTGTGTGTGTGTGTGTAAGAGAGTAAATAAGAATGTCAAAGATGATAGAAAAGTCTAGTTAAAAACAAATAAAAAGTTATTTGTATTTGTGGATATCTATCTATCTCTCTATATCTATCTAATTTAAATATACACATGTATGTGTGTGTGTGTGTGTGTGTTTGTACTCACACAGCAGCATACAGTCCTCCACAACACGAGTGAATGAAACCTCGTACCATAGTGTGAAAAATAAACGTCAGAATCTGGACAAAGAGAGCGAGAGTTATTAGAACATTCCCATCTACTGCAATTAAGACAGTTCTTATGCAAATAAACTCATGCTCCAAAGTTAGGGCTCAGTCAGATTTTTAAAAAAGAAAATACTTTTAAGACCCATTCACACCAAGAACAATAACTATAAAGATGTTTACACCACATGTTGTACACGGAAGCAGTTA